GTAACTGAATTTGTTTTTGTTTTGTTCTCACGGTGGAATACGTAACTAACAAGAACTAACAAGAATTGTTTATAACTTGTCCTTGGCAAGATGACCTCAACGATGCTCATGATAGTATCGCAATATTCATTAATAAACATCACAAGTGTGAAATAAATTGTCAGAAAGAGAATCGCAAACTGCAATTGTTAGCCAGGTAATATAAACCTGACATATCTACACAAAAGCCGTCGAAGATCGTCGACGTTATTAGACATTATTGGTAATGGGAGCCCCGTTGCTGGAACTGAGGTAACCAGGAGGCCGATTAGATTGGTTTTGTTTGATTCATGCACGTTCGAAAACCTCGTGAAAGTTAGTATCGTTAATCCTCCCTTTTCTAATACAACCATCTAGAAAAGAATGAGAACATTTTTAAAAGAATTTTTGACAGGTTAAATCATCATTGGTTTTTGTCATTAAAGTTGAACTTCAATGAAACTGTTTCTCACGACGCACTAAATGCTCATCCATTCCACGAACGTAAATATAATCTTGAAACCTTTGATTGGTAAAAATAACTTTCTAACAAAGAAATACCAGCTGTTCATTGTAGGTAGCTTACAAGCAGCTAAAACTGAAGAAAGACATGTTAGCACAGCCAGGGCAATTATTGTGAATGTTATAATCCTAATCACACAGCGATATCGGTAGAGAATTATATTTTCCGACCTTACGGTTACCGTGGGTAACTTTTCTCAAGGCAGATTTTGATTGTAAAACCTGCCTTGTGAAGGGTTACCCACGGCAACCGAAACATCGACAAATATAATTCTCTACCGATATCCCTGTGTTATTAGCGTTATAACATTCACAATAAAGTAACACATGGTGCATCGACTTTTCGATACACTCCTGATATCATTTGTCCCTGACGTAATAAAAAACAAGGGCTATGATGCTTAGACTGCTCAACATTATTCTCTTATGCTGTGGGTATTATTACTTTGATATATGCTGATTTATGTAGTACACCGCACCTCAAATATACTCTGAATTTGGGAAATCAAAGTACTGAATGTAAATAAACTTCAAACTGAGAACATGCACTACCACCATCACCATCAGAGACAAAGGGTTAGTAAGTATGCGTACGACACATGAGGTCCAGGGTTTCCGTTCCACATTGCGCCAACTGATTTGCACGTGTGCTGATATACAACATTGCTAAAACAGCTGTACAGTGCTTGCAGTTCACTTGCTTTTCGGATTGCTCACAACAAATGCCACCATGTGCTGTCTGAGTGCACGGCTTCAACAATCAACCTGAACTACATTCGACGCCTGTAAACGAATCGATCGTACCTAGACCATTTTAAAATTTGTGTCATGATGTAGCATTTACATGTACATTTAAAACAATTGAATACCGACCTGTTAATAACAACACAGATTAGGTCATTAAATACAGTAGATATGATCTAGATATTCTCAGCCGCATAACCTATACATTTCTTCGTGGGAAAGTAACCGCATCGCGATAGAAATGATTGCCAATGACACAAGCTCCGCCTGATGCAAACAACACAATGTTCCACCTACTAAACGACTACTTTCTAACGGTCAGTAGATTTAGAAAATTACTGCTCCGCAATAGATCAAAATAAAATCACTAGAGAAGCAAACATTTAACCGGGCATCTCATAAAAGCGATATGGTTTAGAATCTTTTGAGACTTGGAGAAGATGGAAATTTAGATTGCGTATCAAATGCCATGTTTTGATGAATGTATTTGAATAGAAATTATAAGACTAATTGGGGAAGACATCTTTTGGGTTGTGAACGTTGTCTGGGTTACCGTTCTGATCTTGAAAATTTAGCAATTGCTGAGATACCTTTCTCTTGGTTCTTGAAAATTAATAGGATTTGCAAAACTAAACTTGCAATCGAGCATCCGAGCTCGACGTCAACATTTATTACAAATTAGCGTTATGCAGATAGCGATATATCACTCAAATCAATTTGGTTTCTCACACATAAATCCGTCCAGCGGTATATGGGGGAACGGGCCAACATTACACCTGTTGGTTGAGATAAGCCTTGATGCGAAATCTCCTCTAGCAAACTTAGTCCTAGTCTCAGTCATAATTGTGGTAATCAGTGAAGTGGTTTAATGTGGATAGATTGCATGGACTAATTGTGACAATTCAACTAATGATTGATGTCAATTGAGAAATACCAGTGACTCATTTCAGCGCTGATGGACGAACACTCAATAGAGTAGAAGGGGAGAAATCAATTTTCAATGCAGTCTTATTTGTTGTTCAAAGCTCGGTAACTGCAATTTAATATCCGTCGAGCCAATATGTTTTGGACTACATTGCCCCAAATGTCTGTTTTTTGAAATTATTCTTTAGCGTTTGATGCGCAGCAAACTGGGAAATGTATTTTTTGAGTATTTCGCTCGGGACAATGTCGATTGTATCGCTGGGTTCACCGAGATGGAAAATGTCCTTTCGACTGCTTCGATGATTAAGTGCAGTTTTGATATTTTTATCAGATGACAAGTTCCTATAAAAACTTGATAAACGGTAGCATAAAAATAATTGGTTTCAGTTAACTAATTTATATAGAACTGAAAACAGGTTTTTAACAGGCATAATGTTTGTAGATGCTATAGCTCATGGCTTTAAGAATAGCTCTCTTCACTTTTCACTGGAATAACAAACCCCTTCCGGTGTGCAGCTTTGTATACAGATTAGAAGTGCTCAGGCTATTAACTATTACATTTTACGCATTCACGTAGTTGTTCAAGCGTCATAGACTGCTTGGCAGATGACTGTCCAAAAGTGTTTTTTAAACTTTGGAACTGATTAACTGTGACAAAGCAAATGTAGAAATATGCTGCTTTTGAACAACCTATGTAACAAATCGGCCGAAAAAAGATTTTATGCAACGGTTTCCGTTTCCAGTAACAAAATGAATACAATTTGAAACTTGATTTTGAATAATACAGTGCAATTTAATGTATCAACATGCAGTGCAAAGAAAGGCTCATGGTCTCCTTAATTAGAATCACCGTTTTCTCGTGGTGTAGACACCATATAGATACCTTTTGTTGACGGCACTACAATCGCTTCATGAAAACGTTGCTTTGTCACAATAGCTAGGATAGTTCATTTTTGAAAAGTAAACCATTTAAATGTAGTACATCAATGCTTCATAACGGGTCACATTGTGTATATATTCAAAAACATTATTCGGGTTGATTATTTAAATTACTCGCACCTAAGCAGATGAATATCTGACACGTTTTCAATGTCATTTTTTACCTTTTAAGAGACCGTGTGCTGCTTTGCTGCACAATTGTCGTCTTTAACAGAGAAACAGTGTTTTCTCAAGATAGTATATTTAAACATTAATTTAGTGAATGAATATAAGGTCTCAGACAAAATCCAACCGATTAAAGATGATCGAAGATGTCAGCTGATACATAACACGTTCCACCTGTTGGAGAAAGAGTGAGCTTCTGATAGGATGTTACTAATCAATAATGTGTTATTATTGAAAGAAATTAAGTTATATAAAGCAATTTCGGGTGTACTATTGTTCTCACCTACTGCATTCTGACGCCGATACCTATGGTGCGCTTTAGGGAAAGTTAGTCAATCCACCTCAAAGAGACAAAGCGTTTCCAAAATTTCACTTCCTGTCAACCCTGTGTGTAAAATAACAGCAATAATGACAGATGTGAAATGCTGAGGAGCGGAGCTTGAAAACCGGTTGATGAAAATGTGTTGTACTCCAAGCACCTGTCAGTAGTGCTGTCTGTTTAACAGTGAAGTTCGCTGCTCGGGAGAGAATCCATGATATATCAAAAGTTTAAAAACTGTGGACAAGTTCAGTTTCATAAAGTTCCTCCTTATGCATACAAACATTATTCTGATTTCGTATGCAACTAAATGTTTTGTGATTTACGTGTAAATTCATTCTTCTAGAATTACTTTTCATTGTCCGTCCGATTCGAACCTGATTTGCATTCCACTCGTTTTGGGAACATGCAATCTGATGGAATATAAAGAAAATAAGGGTTATTTTTCCGCCAAAGGCAAACCCGATGGTCAAATATTCTCGGAATCTCCCATTCGCTCGCACACACACAGTATCTGGTATCGGCAGACGTACGTGTTGGCCTACGGCTTGTAGTGAATAGGTAAACAGGTGAATGTGCCGGTTGGCATTTTTCTCTGTATCCGGAAAATCTTAAAATTGGTCGAAGAATAGACAAACCCAGAACTCGGTGATATGTAACCGAATACACCGAGAAACTGATTTGCTAGCCACACACCCCATTGATGAGGTAAATGTGGTCCCTACGTCGCTCTCCTAAGAGGTTAGCAGTTCTCTTCTGCCCAAATAAAGCATGTAATACTACACTCCTTTCGAATCGGACTATGGCGTAAGCAGACATACGAACAAGCGGTCTAGCGTCAATACGCCACTAATTGGTCAAACTGATCCCATGAGTGTGGTCCAAGTTACCATCGGAAGGACTGGTAGGATAAAATCTGTGTGACGGTTTAAAACAACAGTTTTTTCCGCGAATCCTGTTTATAGCATCAGGAAGGGACAGTTATTAAAACCAAACCTCACCAATGTTAAAAATATGCTGGTCTTTGTTGCAGGAACTGAAAGCTGTGCATCCACAGAATTCAACCACGGAAAGCAAGGATACAAAGGAGGAACCGTCGTCGGATACGAAAGCATCGCTACAAATCCCTGGATCTCAAATATTTGGAACAAATCATGACGCCAGCGGAGTTCGTCCAATCATTAGGTCCGGGCAAAATAATCCTTCCGGTAGAGTAGAAAGGAATGGAAGTTTCAACCGTGACAAGACCACCTTTCAGAGCTCAACCCAACCGAAATCTGTACAACTCGGAGGAGATATCGGAAGTGCTGTTTACAAGTCAGATATTCAGCCTTCCTCGAGGGAAAATAGATTGAAGCAGGGATATCAAATGGGAACACTGCATTACAGTCCTTATACGCAACTCATCGATCGAAAGGATGGTTTTGCAACGACTGGCAGATCGGCAGCAGCACGAGAACAGAAAAGTGTCCATTGGCCATCGGAATTAAGTAAGTATTAATATTCGCGCACATTTCAATATCAATATTATATGTTGGATAGTTTGTGTGTAAATATATTTAGCATCTTACAATGTTTTTTGCGTAAGCTGAATAAGAAGTTGCTTGTCAACAACTAGATGAAATTGCATGAAATTCAGATTGTTTTCTAGACTCAAAGGTGCACAAATAAGCTGGAAGAATGTTGTATCATGTTCTTGCATCACTTCATGGAGAGTTTTCAATATGAGAATCAGAATAATAATGCTTTGTAGGCTCTATGAAGGTTTACCCGTGAAGCTTAATATATTCAAATAGAAACATGCTCAATAGTTAACGTTTCAACTCTCAAACCCGAAAGGCTTCCGCGGGATCTCAAACATTCGGCACAGCTGACGATAACCGACAAATGTCCATTGGCCACTCTCAACCAGCACACAAAGTAAATCTAATTCAAACGAAAACCTCGAACGAGCCTTGAAACCATGCGTACAATAATTAATATCTTGGTGCTTCGAAGGCGAACATGTTAAGGGAAAGGAATTACCGACTAACACATACACTTTCTACTCAGAATGGTTGGGCTATGCCTTAACATGACACAGTATGGTCGCAACTACCTAATACTTGCAAGATGATCATCCTAGTTGTATTCTAATAAATAATTCACCTGAAACGATCCGGGTAATCTTGTTAGTGGTAATGTGTTTTCTTGTAAATGAGACCATTTTTGTCGTGCTAGAACTGTTTTCCTAAATGATTGCAACGCTTTATTGGAAAAAATCAGAAGACATATCCCGATGTCTACTACACTCGCAAGAGCAACGTAGTTTCACAGCAGAACAACAGTAGGCAGCGTTTAATGTCTGTGAGTTCAAAAAGACCACACAATTGTATTCATAAACAAACTACATGGGTTTTAGTTATTTTGGCAAAATAACAAACTCAGTCTTGCAAAACTCAGAAGAATACGAACGTCGCAATTCATCTTCATTTTAATTGAAAATTACCCACCGCGTGCAATCAATTTGTGGAGAGCTGGGGAAGTTCTATGATCTGATCTCACTTATAGAAACTGTGGTGGATCGATGAATTAGAAAATCGGTATATTGAAATTCTGCCACCGCTAACATCATGAATAAGTTAATTGAATTCCGGTTAACGTAGTCGAAATGCTCCAATCAAATTTATATGTTCTCATAGTGGTCGTGAGTTTGAAAATCGTCTAGATTATAGTATATAACGATGGCATGGTTTGCTTTTCACTTGTTCGTTATGAGCACTTGGTGCTACCATGACCAGAGTGAAAATAGTTTTTTATGAATGTAGGACGAAATACCCAGTAAAAATAAGATTGTATTCTTTCGTTTATTTCGGAGTAATGTACCAGCTCGCCGCTCACCGGACCCACACCAAACTAACAATTTTCATTAAGGTCTGGACAGGTATACATTACTTCTCGGCCATCAGCTAACGTTCCTCTTCCTTTGTACAAAAGGAAAATTATCATCCCGGATTGTCAACTAACGTTGCTCTAGTGTTTACACGAGGAACTTCAGTAATAATGAAATCAAATCTTCCATCACAGTCGATGAGAATATTTACCAAATAAATAAATGATTATCTAAGTACAGAGGGCTACTTTTGCCCGAGCTTAGTTTATTTATGACTTGTCTTTTGTTTTAACCTCATAAGTTGCTATCTTATTGCGAAATCTTTATGATCTCTACTACTGGATATTCGAACAAACAACAATTTGACCGCGTAGTTCGTTAAGCTGCATGTGGGAACATCTAAATTTTTCATTCGAAGAAATGATTTGAGTCTGTTAGACAGATGAGAAATCCAGAAGTTTGCTATTGTTGATTTAGGCGTAACCTATGTTTCATCACACTACCGTAAGACACATAAATAGCATTCCAGGTGGCGTATGTTACATGGAATAAACATAAACTCTGGTCAGATACCTCTGAACAAGCAACTCACAAATGTTATAGAATTAGAGTTCCTTTTGTGTGAATAGCAAAAAATTATTTTAAATTACACCACTGACTGAGTTCGAACTGATAATTACTGTTCGTAGAAAAGAATGTTGGAATCAATAAATCACAAGAAGGTTTGAGTTCTACTTCCATAGACGTATTATCTCTATAACACCCCATTTGCAGTTCATCAGATAATCGGTTGGTACAGAGAACAAACATGTTCCTTTCGAATAACAAATGGAGCCTATAGTTGTAATCAGAACACAGATCGTAGACGAGCTTATGTAGGAAAAAACGGGAACGGTAAACTTTGGCGCGTTTCGAAAGGATTGTTGATTTAGATTTGAAAAAGCTGGACACCATCGACAATTTCCCTTTTGGGTAGTTTCAAATGAAACTTCCCTTCTGTAGGGCAGTTTGTTGCCCCCATTTCCAAAATTTTCTGTTACTTCCTGGATGATCCCGTAGATGTGTGCGTTGTCACACCACACTATTGAATACGCATGTCCTTCAGTTGGAAGCTTCACTTTTAGTATGTCACACATATCACTGATATGTGAACCTCTAGAAATCTCTTCAGACGTGTATGTATCGCTTGTGAATCGGGTTTCGGATAAATTTTGTTTTAATTGTACCAGTGATTGCCCGAAATCTTTCATTTAGACAGTCGACAGTGGGGCTCATATTACACATGGTCCTAGTTGACTCCAGTCCTTGTGCTGATAATGGACACCTGGCGGATTTCTAGGACAAACTTCGTTAAAACTTTTCACATGGTTGGCCTACAGTCAGTCAGTCAGTCCGTTAGGTGTATCCGTATTTGTGGGGGAAAACGAAAACGGACAGGAAGATGTCTCAATACGATGTATCGTTTGGACAACTACATAATAACAAATAAAGATTGAGTAATTTGGTAAATAAGTGAATGATCGAGGGAGCAATTTAGGGGATTAGTGGTTGAATGATAACCAAAAGAGCGTCTTTTGCGAATAACTCGTGTAGATGGCCAGATAATGTGATTCTCATAATCGTCGAATCAACGAATGCGCCGTCAAATGATCATGCACCGTTGGAGTCCCTTAGCGACGTTTAGAGAAAGATTATGTGTAAAGCTAGGATAACTTAACATGGTCACCAAAAGTGTAGCTGTTTACTTCTGTCTCAAGGGAACTGCCTCGGACGGTGTCTAATGATCTTCATCCGTAATGGACAAATGTTTATTCGATGGAGGTGTGGTCAGGGTGACCATACATTACCATTCATTCTGTTCTATAGATCATAAGTGAATACCCTTGCTCAAATTCAGTGAACCACATGTAATGATGTTCTTATTCCATCAATCAACCGTTTTCTATGGTAAGTGTGCTACTGAATTAGTGATCTGGTTAAGCTGATAGCGAAGAAACGGTGTTGGGCAGCGGCTCCATCAGAGACAATTATGCATTTTACCTAATTTCTTCGTTTGATCAAAATTGAGTCTCATTAGAGGAGAGACTCAAACTCCGACACTTTCGAATTCGAAGTTGACACCTTCGCTCCTGGGTTTCATGGTTGATGGTGTACTCGGTTGCTTTTATATCCAATAAGACATTTCCTGTATTACGACTGCGGTCAAGTCGGTGCGGATTCCTTGACACCACTTTGATTACGTCGACTGTTGTGGGTGTTGAGACGTATCAAATGAGGGGTAAACATGAAGATGTGTTTATTGTCGTGAATATTATTTACAGTCCACGGTTAGTATAACAAGTTTAAATGAAAATAGCGTTAAAGCGTGTCGCTAGTTTTACTCCCTGTGGATTGCTGACGTTTTGTTTTGATTTAAACAAGATGTACAGGCATATATATTCAAATGTCCCCCGTGAGAAAGTTAGTTTGCTGACAATTAAAACGCTTTACCAGGAAAGACTTGATTGCTGGCCGTTAGTGACTCACATGCGTTGTCACATTTCATGTTTCGGTTGCTGCTGATCGTTGCAATTCAATCGAAAAAAAATTGCAAAACATGGCTACTTCAGCAAAATACTTGTGTGGGAGTATCAGGTGAACGAACTATCGTTCTTCCGTTTCGTCTAAAAAATCAACTTCGATGGTTTGATAATTTATGGGACCCGTTACTTTGGACGAGCTTCTGTCTTAATTTTGCAACAAAAAAATAGGGTTTACTCAAAGGCACTTGTGGTTAAGTACTCTAAACAGATTGTGAACTAGAGGTATTCACCAAACTCGTCCAACACCCTGAGTTGCATCAGAATTGTTCCTCCCAGCACTTGGTGCTTCAAGCCTGATTCATGGAAATTAATATGCTATTGCCATTATAAAATACCATTTCTCGCTTTTGGTGAAATTTGCTGGTGCATCAGTTGTAAAATAACAAAGTCAAAGTGAGAAACATGAATAGGATTCACTTATCGAAACGACCTATGGACTTGATACAGGTATTGTACTTTCATCTCGTCCATGTCTTATTTGCCCCTCTTCCTTTGTGTGCCGTAGAGGCAATCGCTTTTTCATTGAGTCCACCACGTTGACTGCCAAACAAAATTAACCAGTTTCTTCTAATACATACCCCACCCTAACCGCCGAGAAACACTCTCGGGACAACTAACGTATCTCTGTTTCTAACCCAAGGACACGTTTTAGATTACATTCAAACGCCAACTACTGGGTGGTAGTTGAAGGAATTTAGCCTTGGAATTAACCCCTCCAGAAACTGCATAAACGTGAAAAAATTAATATCAATTGAGATCTAACCGTATTCTAGTACCAACCTCAAGCCAAAAGATATACTAAAGTTCATCTCTGAAACATATTACTTCCATGAATGCATTTTAGAGTAACAGTTATAGAAACCCTACCTTATCAATGCAAAAGATTACACAATATCTATATTGGTGTGTACAGGAAACCAACAACATGGCACGTAGTATTTATTTCCCTTCCAACTCATTAGGCTGGATGGATATTTACTTGCTTTGACAGGTAAAACGAAATTTATTGGAGACCTAGGTTAGTAGATATACTTTCTTCGCCTGTTGAATTGCTCCTTGGTCACCACCGAGATAAACCCATTGCCAAATGTTCGGGCGGTGCGATTTAAATTTGTTGTCAAAATCATTACGTGCTCTCCTCTGTTGACCGTTCAATAACGACTTCATAGCAGGTGACCTTAGCCGCATTCCCAATTGATGCATCGTCTTCCAGACTGCAGTATGATGAAACAATGACTAATCCGCCCGGACTTTTATTCATATTGGTTATGTGCAACGTTTCTCAACAGTAGAAGACATATGTGGGCAGAATTGATATTGGCCATCGATTTCGCGTGCTCTCATTTAGCTGTAAACACACATTTATAAGATCATGTGAAACGAGGAAGCATAAGAGTTGAAATGAGTCATTTGACCAAAGTGTTGGACAAGTGAGTCGAGTGATCTGTGCCTAGTTATGTGTTGAGGTCAAGTAAGATGAGAAAATTGGATATGGGGTGAACTGGACCAAACGATGTGGTGAACTAGGGAGGGGGAGGGAAGGTCATGTCACGTCATGCTGTGGTAGGGTGGTATCAGGTGTGATATCATCACTACCACGGCAAAAACAGTTGCGTCACAAATGATTTTTGATCACATAATTGCGCTTTCCAGCGATGAATAATTATCGCTTCTATGAATCGCAAAGTAAGTGAACCTCAAGGCCTCGCAATCACGCGAAACGCTTTGGGTGAGTCTACGTGGTGACCGGAATCTAACAAATGATGGACAATCGCACTAGATGGTAATTTCCCTCCGCGAAGACCAAGCTCTTTCGGAATATGTTCACACATTCTGCTTGATAAGTGACGTTCTGTCCTTCCGATATACCGCTGACAGCAAGTACATTGAAATGAATAGATGCAGTTGGAGGTAACACTAACCTCTTTTCGATCCAGATTAGTGCGTGTGAGACAACGAAACGTCCCGTAGACGATCATTAGTCTTGCGGCATTGTACGTCCTTTCGACGGCGTGCGTTAAACGTCGAGATATCCTTGTGGTCACATCATCTCCCCTGAAAGGCAGTTCCATATAGACGTCTTTCTTCATAACCGATAGGGAAATAGGCTTGGCGTTGATCGGCTTGCTGTACTTGTGGATGAATGCGATGGGATAACCATTGTCTAGTAAAGCACGGATCTATTGATTTAGTTCATCTGACAGGGCTTGCAGGCTACATTGTCTGCGAACCCTATGCAATAGAGTGCGTACCATACCTCGTTTGTATCCCGCATGACAGAAACTCCTGAAGTGTAAATACTGTACTTTCCATGTAGTCTTTTGATACATGGATATCTGTAGCTTAACGTCTGACATTCGATTCAGTAGTAAGTCAAGGAATGGAGGTTTTGATTCCGATTTACATTCTCATGTCAGTTTGATATTGGGATGCAATGAGTTCAACTTGTAAAATAATGCTATAATACATGTTTCGTAAAGTAAGGTTGAATTCAAATCACCTTCCAGTTTGTTTTCTAGTGTTGACAGGAAGATTTCAGCAAGAATTGGCCCCAAAAGGCTTCCCATAGCTACACCATCAACCTGTTTATAGATATTTCTACTGAAAACAAACGTCGCAGACGCATAAATCCAGTAGGGTTTTCCAATCACTGGCAAGGAAACCTATCTCACTGGCATGTTTGCATACTTCGTTCGCAGCTTCCTCGACCGGGACATTTGTGAACAATGAAGGAATATCGTACGAGGCGAGAAAACAACTACGGTAATCAACGTCTCGTATTGCTTCTTTTAATTGAAGTATATCCTTCAGTCCGAACCTGCACGGTTTGGTACTAATTGAAGCAATCAGCTTCGCCAACCATTGTGCAAGTTTGTGTTGGGGAGAGTTAACCATCGATAGGATTGGTCGTAATGGAATCCCCGGTTTGTGCAATTTCCGCAATCCGTACATTCTTGCGATGTGTGAACCCCGAGGTCTCAGTTTAACGAACGTGTCTGTGTCGATCACACGTTTCTTCCAGAATCGCTTCAAGGTAGCATAAACTGTTCTTTCGAATGTTTCAGTTTTCTCCTTTGCTTTTTGGCAACAGGACACATTGTTGACCCACAAATATCGTTCAAGCCATTATTACATAACTTGAACCCCAGGATTGTAGCGTTTAGCGAGGCCATGTTTCTCAAGTTACGTAACCCAATATACGTTCACAAGAGTTTTTTACTCAATCAGTCAAACTGCCATGGACTTGATTTCCCACCCCACTCTCTCCCCGCTTTCCTGACTATTGTCCAATTTGGAATATGTTCAATGCGCCTAATAAACACTCATGAAACAGGAATCATTTATAAGAAGAAATAAATATCCCTGATGCTTTCCATAACACATTTTCGAAATCTGCGCTGTAGCTTTTGAACCACTACAAACTTTATCGTGGTGGTAGAAGAAAACTGAGAATATGGAAATGGGAGATAAAGTAAGGAATAAATACATCTCATCCATAACTATCAATATGCAAGTATGATATGGGAAATTGAAATGTACTTCCGAAATTAGAGTGATGGTGCACGAGTTTGACCAATACTTATTTATATTCATATTATCTGGCTTCGTAGTACCTGAGGTTTATGTAATATTTCGTTCTTCCTTAGTAAGTTTTCTAAATTTTCAGAAAATGTATTGTTAAGCCACAGAAATAAAAATGTTTACTGATTTAGGATAAGTAACATTTGTGATGGTTTTCTGTCTCAGTTAAAACGATTCTTATGGTTTTGCCTAAGCAGGTATGTCAGAGATTCATTTAAGAGGCCTGCATTGCATGTATCTTAGCGGTATTCAAATTATGAAGCTAAGAGCAATTTTTGTGACTTACAAATGAGTTTGAACTCATACCCCTGAAGTGTTTGCTCTGCAGTTAATGCATCAATATAATGCAGAATTATGTAACAGAATCATACGGTGGTGCATTAAACAGCGAGTAATTGGAGTTCAACCAAAATCGTAGTGTCAACGAGCTTTGGGTTTTTACACCACGAGTATAAAAAGTGAACATAAAAATTTGCTACCCCGTCAGTGTGTGCCACAGCATTGAAAAATAAGTCCATTGGAGTTCATGAACTCATTGTCATTCCTAATAGTTCTGAGTAAATCATAATTCAGATACATTCAAAGATTTATCATCTTTAATAACAGAAGCTTACTACTGAGAATTCAAAATGTATAGTATTGTATTATCACAATGACATATTGTGCTTTCCATTCATAAGATTATATTAAATCTGGTAGGCAAACTCGTAGCATACTTAAACATTTTACCATTGCGTAATTCACTAATGAAGTGATTTCACGCTTCTCAAGGAAAATGGTTTTTAAAGAATCAAACCTGAATACAACAGACTCATTTAATGACACGGAGTTAGCATTTGCCTTCACCTCTTATATCTAATGCCACAAAAACATTTCATTTAACGCAAAAGCTATCAAATGGTAACAAAATTAACCACTGTGCACACGGCTAAATGATCTACTCCGTGACAGTATCTAGATTGTTGTTGGAGTGACCACATGAAATTCTCAACTGAGATAAGGTTGATCATCCTGAAAAAACTTATCTCCTTCGTAACTCAAAATAAAAAATGGTAAAGCTGTATGTTGACCTAGATGACAGACACTAGTGCAAACACGTTCGATAAACAACCTGGTTCTTTTTATGCGGGTCTGAAATTGCCTGAACCTCTTCATAATAATATGTTAGCTGTGCTTTGTTTGAAACCACTGATTTTCAAAATGCAAAGGTCTAAACAATACGATAAGTGCTTTGTTTTTGTCTAGTAAATCCTTCTGATATATTTAGGCCCAAGGATTCTCACAATGCTGCAGAGCACTTTGTGTTTACTAGATCGCCCTAATAACTCTGCAATTCCGATGCCTCTCAATGAAAAACACATTCCAACTGATATCCTTCTGGAATACCCAATACACAAAAAGAAAACATTCCGGAAAACTGTTTTCTCGACTGTCACCGATATCGTTAATCAACTCACTAGGACAATGCCGATAGACTCTTCACTGTAAAAACTCTCGTCAAACAAGAGTAGGTACGACTAAAGTGAGACATGACACATGTGCAGCTCATATATTAATTCAACCTTTTCACTTTTCTGTATTTCCACAGATTCCTCTTCCCAATCATCGGACTACAATCAGCAACAAAGTGGCATAAGAGCCAGACATTCAACTATGCTTCCGATCGATAATGTGAGTTGTACAGCAAACGCATAATGAATGAAAGCAAGATAGTTTCTATCCCAAATTACCACCCATGTAAATTGAGGAGTGAGGTTAATTATTCAGCAGAAAATAGTAATGCTGATGATTTCCAGACTTTTCCGGGGCTGCATTCTCTGATGGATCTATACTTTTGCCTGACATTTGAGATCAGAAATAGAAATAGAAAAAGAATATGGGTATAAATTACAATATTTGGAACAATCTCAGTCACTGTTGGTGGTTTCTAATTATACCCGCTTGTTCTCTCCCAATTGAATGTTCCTGACAGCAGTACATCCCTCCTCATACCTATCCTATTCACATTATTGACAAACCAAACCACACTGTGGATTACCTTTTTCTTTTCTTCACCTTTTTAATTTTACTTCCTCTTATTGAAGATACAAAGATACAATTTTCAGGAAGGGAGAAGCGGCCAATCAAGGGGCTGCATACAATACACAAATGGGGAAAGTCAGGCGGTGGTGGTGGGATTCGAACACACGTCCTCCGGGGTGATAATTGGTGACGTTACCACCGGGCCACCACCACCTGTAACATCGGCCCGAGAACTTAGATACGAATCGACTGATACCCCGTCCGTACTGCTCTCCAATTCGGCGATAACATCTGTCCTTTATGACACTTAACATATGCGGGAATTACATGGTTTTGAGTACCAGTATCTGGGATCCATCCTTTAGTTACAATGACGAGAACAGGTGCTACGAAGAGGCAAGGAAACCGAGCGATTGCCTTCATGTCATTAGGCTTTAGTATTGGACCTATGAATAATATTTCAAAATAGTTTTTTCTTGCAACACAATCTCCAGATTAGCAATAATGTTTGAGTGGTTTGCTTATAATTTGAGGTAACACCACCAAGGAGTACGTAAGTCAAGCAGGATTTTATTCCCTATTACTCCTACACAATGGACCAGGGATCTTAGTTTTTACAGACGCTCTCAAACGAAAGAACTCATCACGTAGAAACCCTGTTACCCATGATATTTTCAATGTACATCTTGCTAAGCAATAATACAGTTTTGCTCAATTTGTACAGCTTTATAACTTTCCTTTCCATGCGTGTCATTTTTCTTAAATTCACAAGACAATGCTGCGGGAATCAAAAATATAAGTCGTCTTGGACGTTTCTGTGTCGCTCACGCTAGCAAAGCGGTTAGTCAGATGGTTAAAGTGACAACAGGCCAATGAAATAAATGGTCGCGAAAGATTGGTTGCAAATTATCAGTAGATGATATTTTTTACCGGATGAGAGATTTCGCTGCCCATGCTTTCAGGAAGCGTTTTAGCATGTGTAAATCTGAATGGTAAACAAACGAAGTCATAGAATTCCAACTGTTCACTGTGGACAGCATTTTATTAGGCAAACCCTGGTGAAGCACGTTGAACGGGAATGGTCGAACAGCATTGCAGATATCCCTCGATAGTTATCATTCATTTGTGCCCTTCTACTTCCCATAGATATAGTTTTTTTTACTTTCCTTTACTGAATAAGCGTAGCTATAGATAGATTCTTTAGAGAAAAGGGGGAGCAAATCACAGGGTGCTCACGCAATACATGAAAAAGTGGAAAGTTAGACGGCGGTGGTTGGATTCGAACATACATCCACCATTCCGATTACCTGGTGATCTGGATCGCTTGATCGCTTTCACAAAATAACCTTCCATGACAGCAATCTAAATACTGAATTTAATTAAGCGTAATAACATTTTCGGAATTTGCTTCATTTGCAACAGAGAACAGAGTGTTTTCCGTCTGAGCGTTTCTATCGATAAAGTTTTTAGAAGAATGTTGTATATTGCCTCGTGAGCTTCATGGTGTTTCAGATTGTAGGTTCAGTATATGATCAGGTTGTAGATAAAGTATAAAATACGCACGGGTTATTGTGTAAAAACCTAGCAAACAAAATAAATAAGGTTACTACTTTAGAAAGATTTCAAATAAATGTTTATTAAGTAATTTGCTAATATCTGCCAATTCATGGATAATACTTTCAAACAAAGTGACCAAATATTTTATTTTTAATTAGTTTTCATAAATGTTGAGGGTTAGGCAAAAATGACTTCAATAGGGATGATGATAAATCACCGTCTGTAGGCCAATAGAGACCAAGTATAGCTAAGAAAAACGGGTCGTTTAGTGAGGGAGCATCGTCATCAATTTGATTGATTGTCAACGGATACATTTTGTGCTATGTGCATAACCAAAACATTGCATACAATAAAGAATACTTACCTGAATTACACGTAATCTATGAATTAAATAGCAGCAAGTTGAAACAGAAACGACCAGACAAAAGCAATTGTAGGACGAATTGAAATACCTCATCAAATATTTAGTACCTCCTTGTGCATCGTCAATTGATGTGGTCGCAATCATAAAAAACCCACATCCAAATCTTGTAGATCTGCCCATTCACAACTAGCTCCTAGTGCACGAATCTGTCCCTTTGATGTTTTTACCATTTTTTACGATTTGCATCATTCGGAGCAGCTACCCATTTCATTTTAGAGGTGTGGCTACTGCAAGCAGAAGCCAAGATTGTCTACCTGAAATTATTCCTCTCTTACGTTTTCGGGGGACAGATCACCCATTAGCTTTCATTTTGTGCACCTTATTCCCGTCATACATAGCGTATGCGTAATAACAGACGTCATCGCACAAAAGTTTGATTCAAGTGTTTCACGTTGTTGTGTAAAACCTTCTCTGTGAAAATCCGAATAGAACTAGAAGACTATAGTGACTGAAAACCTCGACTGGTCAAAGGTCACTAGTCAAACTTGGATTGATCAGAGGGAAGAAGTGTGGGAAAACATCATAGATTGGTAACGTGGTGGTAGCACCGTAGGGGAACGGCCACATTGAGTAAAGTCCAGTTGTCAACTTGGATTTGGTTCTTGTCGCTGAGTTGTCATTGCCCTGGCAAACTGCTTGTGGCAGGATGGTAGTAATTTTAACAGTCCGTTAAATGGCGTTAAATGAAACCGGATAAAATATTTCAGCCATTCAGAGCCGAAATTGTGCGACGCGTTCTGAGTTAGGCGTTATCAAATTGGTATCAGTGATGATCCGTCGGCTATTAGACAGAGAGAGTGGTTACATTCAACATTGTCAACATTGTTAGTCATTGCCGTGAAATTCAAAATCACTGCAAGAGTGAGAAGTCAACACAAGGCATGAAACTAAGGCAAGATTGTCGATAGTGGTCTAATTTCATGCACTTCAAGCCGGGTTTATATTTTTAACGGTTTTATTCCGTGCATATCCTTTGATATAATGGAGAGTTGACTGTGGATGGAAACAAGATGACGATGCACAATAAGGATGTCCATAATAATAATAGTGTTTAATTTTGTTTTCCTCAATTACAAATAATGTAAAATCATTGTTCCCTTAAGGTGAATGTGATTAATAAAATGATGTCAAATCCGACGGTAGTAGGGATAACACATACAACATACAACATACACATACGAAGTTATTCTCCCGTTCAGTATGATTGTGTTTCCATCAATAGCAGTGGCATACTTGCAGTTGAATTCCTGCGGTGTTGTAATTAAGAGACGATTACGTGAAAACCTCCCATTTCTAATAACCCTTACCAAATCGCATTTTTCACGGTTTCACAAAGCGCGATAGGACTGTCACCATCACCTCCATTTTCCCATTTGCACTCACTTTTTCAACTAGCTGTCAGATAGAGAAGTTTGGGAATTTACAAACATATTCATAAAATACGCCACACTTTTGAACGACATTTTGGACTGCTTTTTTGTAAATAAAACGAAAACCAGAAACGGAGTTAACGGATTTTTCCCTTACACACAGAACGATAAGATTTATTTGCAAATAATGATTGGTTTACTGATGTATAGTCTATGCTTGCGTGCTCATTCGTACCAACCGAAATGACGAATAATGAAGGAAACGACAGTTGATGTAAACTTCTCATGAACCTACATGCACAATTAAAAAGTTTTACTCCGAAACAATTTGAATACAAATCCTTTATGACATATTTCCTCCTTCAAGAATATTGTGAATGCCTTTCTGGAGATCCACGATGGGTAATAAATGATGAGTACATTCCTTCCTCATGCTCAGCTACTCACCAGTGACCGGACATCTGGTTCTTTGGAAGCAAGTTATGTTGATCTGAATTATGTTCGACGCGATTTTTAAGTTCCGTTGTGAATGGTGACTAATGATGTCTCACTTGCTTTCCATGGTACTGACTAAACGTTAGACTCTCACGGGCAGACGAATCCTCTATCACAAATGCCACTTTTTATCTTTGAAATATTTCCGTTTCTTCTGACAAACTGGGTCTCAATAACCCATTATTTAAAATACATGATTTGTAGTTGGTTTTTACATAAATGTTATTTATGGTACATCCAACCAAACTAATGGTTAATTGTTGTATTCCCCAACCAACAGTTCAGAATTATATGGGTATAACGATGTTTCAAAATGTTTTGCTGCCTACCAAAGCACTCTAGCAAAATCACTCCGTCACCTTTATCAGGTACATTACAAACTTTCGGGTTATGTACTATTCTTTCTTAGATTGCAACCACAATCTCGGTTTATTATGTAGAGGTCATCCTGCAAATAATCATTTAAATCCTTTTAGTAGTTTGTAGAATAAACATCCAGAGATTTATCCTTTTTAGTATAGAAATGCCTAGTTTTCGAGCAGATGGACTTCAATCAAGAAAAGCATTCTTTATTAATCCTCTAATAAAAGTAAATCTCACTGGTGTCGAAAAGGCATTCACGGCCAATGGTAATTCAGCATTTATTAGTGAGAGAAGCTCTTGATCAAACTCCGTTATCAGTAGCAGGTTCGCAGAACTCAAAAATCGTTTTCATTTTTCCCTGGATTAAAGCCTCCTTAGGCAAAAGACTCATCCGTGTCATAATGCCGAACACAAATTAAAAATACCAACAGTGCTGAGGAGAGAGTAACACTTATTCAAACTTAGCGGTTGTGTTAAATTCGGAATTATTAATCTGAACCAGAACGAAATTCAGTTGCACAAAATGACCACCTGAGTAAACATTTGTAGCATCTGATTATTAAACGCCTGACGAGATGCACACTTACCGATACAGGGGTTGTGTATTGATATTCTCCTTTGAGAATTTTCGCTTGTGAATTCATTTGTTCCCTACATTTTGCCAACCATTGAAAGAAAACAAAGAGGAATATTACCCGTACATGGTAGTTTCTGTAGTTCATTAGATATAAAAATCAAGTAGCAAATATAAAAAGCACTGCCCAATGTCAAATATTTTTTAATACCCTAAACAGAAAAGCCTAATATTTCATGTAAAAAATGAAAGCATTAAAATCGCTTTCGTAACTCAACTACCGATTTGAACCCTTCAATTTGGTTAGAGGAAATGCCACAAGCTTTGAAACGATCAGCCATAGAGTTGGCTGTGTGTTAGTCACCGAGGTTTGCTTCTTCTGCTTCATTTCAAGATTTCAACGGGTGAATGAATACAACAATTTGGGTATAAACAGCATTTACCATGAAAGCTGAAATTTTCCTGATTTTTCTTATTAAATTGTTTTAATCGTTCAATTCAAGACGGTTCCACAATGATCACAAAATGAGTTGTCTTGAGACAAATACTCAAACACTGACCACATAACCCTTTGCATACTATTCATTTCCAACTGATGAGTTAAGTGGCTGTGATTAAAACGTAAGGCTACAGGATGCAAGGGGCTCAACCAAAACTGTTTTGCGCGCATCTTGAAAGTTTTTCTAATTTTGTCACGATTTCATAAGCTGCAATAAACAATTAACCATTTCAAAGCTATTCCTTGACCTCAGATTAACTTTTTCAACTCAACTTCTCGGTCAAAACCGGGATCTTCAACTGAACTTCTATATGATTTTCTTGCTTTTAACCGTAGGTAACCACACACATAAACGGTCAGCGGCTTCAGTGAATATATCCATCTGAATGTTCAGGGCGTCAGTGTATTAAGACGTCAAATTATTCCACTCTTTTGTCTTCCGTCAGCTTATTCAAATGCAAAAGCGTCAAACACAGCGTTTGGAATCCATTTCACCAAGTCGCTTCACTTTGCAAGGTCGACAATATGAGCCATCATCATCTGACGGAACCAGTGGCCCTCCGCGTCGTGAAATCCAAGTGAAAAGAAGCCACAGTATGAATCCTTCCATTCGCCCACCTGTCCGCTCTCCTACTTTCCCCGTAAATTTACCGTTTCCTCTGACCCTGGCTGATTTGACCAAACAGCAACCATACGAAAACAACAACAATAATACGAGTGCAAACACTAAGCCCAATCACTTCAACTTCAACAGTGCATCTCACTTCGATGATGAACCCAATCTTGTGTCCATTCCAGTCCCTATCACCTTGCTGTCATCGACCGATAATTCATCCAGATACGGTTTGGGAATGGTTCGTAGTCATTCTGCGACTCCACAGCTAATAGATTTGACAAAGAAGAACGGGTATCAACCTCGAGGAGGATCATTTGACTACGATCCAACGCGAATAACCACTCAACAACAACAACAACAACAACAGCTGCAGCGAAGTCGCTCCGCATGTCGCGATTCACCCTGTCCGATTCCGGACGAAAACGGACGGATCAAAACGTGGAATCCAGCTGATCTGAATCCCTACAGAACTACTGAGGTATCTGTTAGGAAAGGAACGGACAAAGTAAGTATATTGCTAATCTTCACCCAGATGGTTTGCATTTTTCTGGAATGTTACAAAATCTAAATATTCGAAATTTGACCAGTTACTCAGTCCTTTGACGGATTTCAAACACATTTTGATTCAGAAGCAGTGGCGAGTAGTCAGACAAATCACTTGCGACCATTGACAACATGCTGGTCAAAAGGATCGAGATTGTTTGGCCTAAAACAATGAGCAACATAAAGTTGAAATTAGGATCCAACTGTTTCAGATAGTTTTAACTGTGTCAGAAAACGTTCAATCAATAGGATTCTAACTGTTTCGTGCTAAGAAATAAATATCCGAGTAAATTACCGACTTAAACGTTCAATGTGCCCTGTGTGATCACGTTTTCTTATTGTGTAATGACTCGAACAGTGTTACAAGTCAGGTATCAAATACTTCCCTACTTAATCAATAATCTTATCAGAAATGCCACCTACCAGGCACACAGTGGATACAGTGAAGCAGATGATAAACGTAGCCGCGGGCAGAAGCACTCTGTATCTGAAATCCATTGAAATACAGCGATACTCTGAATGTCACTGATTGCGACTTGACGAATGTTGTTTTGACCACCGTAATATTTGGATAGCTCAAAAATTTATATTACCTATTTTAACGAATAAAATCTCAACGTGTTTTACCATACGCGTTGGAGACAAGATGAGATCGATCTATTTCTTATGTGTAAAGAGACACCCAAAGGTAGTCAGAGCAAAAAGCAGTTTTCGCACAGTTCTGGAAATAAGCAATTTACGAACAATTTAGTAGGATTCATAATTCAATCACTATGTTATCTCAAAAAATCTATTTCATTCTTTTCTCATTTGACGTTGTCGGCAACATCGTTAGACTTCATTGGGTTATAAAACGGCGAATGCTGTATAACCGTCCATCAGCAGTGTACGAGTACACTATTTTTGGCAGATTTAAGAGAAAATAAAACATTGAATAAAAAATTCACTTTAGCGAAAAAGCTTTTGCTCGGTGACTCGTCAACTCGCTAATACGTCACATTTTATATCACGTCATTTTGTATAGAAAAGAGGAAGCATAATTATCGATTATTCAACTGGTGATTGTTGGTATTGTTTTCTGTTTGAATTTCACAAAACCGGATATGACTGATCCTGCCATCGGACCTCAAGCTTGATCCGTGTTAATTGTGTGATTTCGGGAGTGAGGTGGAGTGGGGGGGGGAGGTGGAGGGCCAGCCATGGCAGATTGAGAGTGACTTCACAAACACGTGTTTGGGCGCACAACGGGGGATTATGTAGAAGAATTCCAACCGCCTCTGCAGTGGCTAGGATGCGAGTTTTAATCGGCTTGGATCTGCGACCCCGAACACAGTAGAGATGCCGAAATACTTTAATCATGCTCAATGTGTGTTCGGACTCGACGAGGTGTGGAACGATGGAACCTATAATAGTTTTAATCACACCCGTGTTCAGCCAAGCCGGATAAAGTTCCCGAGCTCGTGTAGATAGGCGCCTGCTAGTGTGGCTGATATATGTTGCTCCACAGGAACACGTAAACCGGTACACATAAAATGCGACTGCAGAAGAAGGAATCCTGTCTTTGAGTTGCGAACACAAGAATAAAACATTTCGCAAAGTGCACTAGCATTTTGGAGTACATGGATACAAGGCGCCTCCCATGCAGGAAATGATCATTCTAGGCACATATAGCTTAATGCAAGTGGTACATCACTTATGATATCGTGTTATACATTCAGACGTAAATCCAAAGTCAATTGCTGGCAGCTGCACACCAATCTTCCCAACTTGACTGTTAGAATACTGATGGGCGTAATAGCAACAAACTTAGTTCTATTGTACGAAATATTATGAATGAATTCTAATGTCAGCATTGCACATTTAAATAGAGAGGATACGTACTCTCTGATCCAGTAGGGAATATATCTAGTCGTTGCAACGCTGGATTCGTTACAAACCCTAAACAGCGTTGAGTCACTTATAAATACGATATCAAAAGTTTCGTTTTTTAGGGCATATCATGACGCTTTTATTGACTGAAGTTTGTACGCGCGTTCGTTGTAAATTGGTGCTATCTTGCTTGACCCTCTGGAGAGCCTGTTTGAGTAAATTACAAATGAAATGTATTGTAGTAGACAGAGGATTCACATTCCGCAGACGTTTAGCAATGGAATTGTTAGAAAACAATTTTTCGAATTCCGCGACCTTCCAAATCCGATTTTCAGAAAATACATCCATTAGAATGAATCAAGCAAATAACGACTTACTGACATGCGTAGGAATTTCGATTATTAGTAATCTTTTATTCACTGTTACTTTGCCAATGGTTTTCAAACCCCTATGTCTATCGAAAACATCGTTTCCCTTTGAGCCGTTTGTGTAAAACGAGTAACAATACATGAGCAGAAGTGATATTAATCATCAACTTATTAAGCTCTCAGTCACCTATCTATGCACAACAACGAGAAGAAATGTTGGTTCACTCAAAATCAAACGTCTATGATAATTACGCAACAACCACAAAATTTATTTTCATCTGCTGTTACCATATAAAGGATGGTATTTAGTATTCTTCTTGCATCATTGTAATATATTTCATATATGTGGAGATAACTGATTCAGAGCAAGGTAAATCGATAATAAACGACACATATTATATCACCTGTTTTGTTCAAAACCCAAAATATACATACTGTAAAGAAAAATATGTCTCCCAGCATCTCATCTGTCGTGGTTATTTTACACAAATGTGGAAATAGTTATCAAACCTTTTTCTCGAATTCAAAGAGTTTTGGGGATAAGTAAGTAATAGCAGACAAACAAGCGTAAAACATACAGCATGTCTCGCTGTTTGAGTCCTTTCTTTGTATTTTCTTTGCACGGACACATAAACACAAGCTTCCAGACTTATCTTGAATCATCTATTTCAATTTATTTTTCTGATCGCTATATTCGTCAGCTCATTCTCCGAGTCTATCACCCGAATCGAACAACAAAAGCCGTGTCGGTCGGTCCGGATACGACCACCCTGTCCGTGATCGAAACTCTGCTGGAGAAAAACAATTTGACTTGGTCCAAAAAGTACGCACTGGTGGAAAAAATACCCTCGATGAAGTTGGGTAAGTTTTCGCGAGCAAGGAAACGAATACAGTGTTTGAAGATTTGTCGGTCTGAAATTAAGCCCACTACTTTTTTCGTACTCCACAAGTAGTAAGCTCAATTAAAACTACCCGTTACACTCATTGATGAGTTTTTCCAGCGACATAAGGAACGTCCTCTAGTGGAATGCAAAATTGTTTCAACTCATTAAATTAACTGTCGCAGTGCAATTCCATTGCAAGCATGTAAATTAATGCGCTGAGAGCAATTCACTACACGCAAGGAAACCTCTTATAAGCCTGCTTCAACCCTGGAGTTACGAGCATCATTACAAATAATCAGGAGCACAACGCCGACGACGAATTTTTGCTCAACGCAGATAACATGAATCCCTCTGGCCAACTATTTTCGTGCACCACAATGATGAAATGCATTATTGAGAGGTACCACCGAAAAAAGCTGTGTGCTATAAATCTGGGTTAACCCCTTGAGAAGTTTCATCTGCTTTTTCACCGACTTTAAAATCTGGAACGAGATCTACACAAGAAAGATCCGAAAATGGCTTGAAAACTTTTGAGTCGGATTGTATGAAAAAAGTCAGTTTCTGACGGATTCTTAAATACTAGCATTTTAACTTCGTCTCAGTGAGAAATGAATCGTTATATTCCAGTAAATTACGCGCATTTCTATTTCGTAGAAAATGAATATTGTTTAAATTTTAGCATCATCATCATCAACCAAGTTATCATTTTGAGTAGCAAATTCACGATCAGAAACAGTAGAGTTGTTTTATTTTCATCGGTTTTTGCACAGCCTCATGAAACATCCGTGCGTCGGGAAAGTAAATGTTTGATGAATTCATTGTTGGCATGCAGCAGGACGCTGGAAGTCAGACTGGATTTCTGGGTTAAATATTTGTTGGAGTTTTAGTCAAATATACTCAGATTCAGTTCCCAAAGAACTCGACTAATGTGTTATTTATACTTATGAATAATATGAAAAAGGAAATGATATATTCGATGTTTTGATCTTCACGAGAAGATCGTGTAATCAGGGGTACCCTAACACTAAAGCCGATTTTCTTGATTCACTTGAAAAGAACTTTGAAATTGTCTATCCAATTTAGCGATTCACAAAGCATTCACTGTTTTTCCAATCCCAGAGGTTTGCAGGTGGTTTATTAAAGATTAGCTTATGTGGCACCTTTACCATCACACGATACTGTTTCCTAAATGGTTAAAGCTCATCACTTTTTTATGCGACCATACTGCCGATGTATTGCATATTTTGAACCACATATGGATCGGTATTGACATACTCCAGATGATCATATTCCAGTTCTCGTGGATAGCTCAAACAATAATGTGTGTCTCGTCAATTACTGCAGTCTCTTCTGTGGCAGCACTTAAATACGAAACTTTAGGTGAATCGAGGAAATTAGCCTGTCTTGGCCACGGCGAATGAAAACCAAAACCAAAATGCGTTGGTATTTTGGTTTTCATTCATCGTGGCTAGGACAAGCTAATTTCCCCAATAATCATGAGCACGACGCCCAAGGTTTTCAGTGAGATCCGTTCCACCCATGGATCTCGTGTTATAGATGAATCGGTTGACAATGCGCTACTTCTACTGGTTTGCGTTGCACGTCTACGAACAGCTGAATTGAGCTTTCGATTATAGCTTCAGTCGCAAGATGGCAGTGCGTGATCTTATAATGTAGAGCCACTGAACAAGTTGTTGATTATAATCAGTATGTAAACCGCCTGATATGTATTTTCAATATGTTCCCTTATTTCCTATATTCGAGTTCTTGTATTACGCGCACTTCATTTATGATGTCAATCTTGCTGTCTCAAAACACAGAACGGTGCTTTGAGGATGACGAACTGATTATTGACTGTTTGGGCAACTGGACAGTGGGATGTGAAAATCTGGTATTTTTCGAAGAACGGGAGGACATGTATGGCATGTTTGAGAACGCACCGGTAAGAATCACTCTGCACTACCAGCCTATCCATTCAGAATTTCTATTTTTGCGAATTCTAATGAAAAACATTATTTCATTGTCCGCTGTGCTATCATCTTACTAAAATGATCGATTTGAAAACAAACAACATATAAGCACACACTAATAATGCGATAATTTTCGATTACCGAAATGTTTACAGTCTTTCGACGTTTTGTGGTAACAAACTATCTGTAAGGGTGATCGACCCATAAAAGACTGCGCATTTGTTTCCATACGAAGAAGATAATATAGCAATAATTATTTTACCTAAAAACAGATATTTCACGCAGATAAAGGTCAATAGTGTCCGGCTTTGTTTGGGTGGACCAAGAAATGTTGCCCAGTTCCAAATTATTATCAGCATTTTCCGACAAATTACCCCGTCACCAACGGTAAAGCATCAACGGGGATGCTGATCCTAAGTCATATTCTACTTAGTAATAGCCTGTCGAGCGATTTTATTGTCGATATTTCGGTAGACAAACATCAGTTACTTCAAGGTATTATAGTCAGCACCGAAATGTAGACTACATATATTTAGTGATACATGTTTCAAATGATCGAAACCCCATAATGATCCTCGCAGTAGTGTATCATCCATCACGCTTGAAAGTCACAATATGTAAGCTCGCCCCATGTCTGTGTAGTAAATCGAACAGCACACAAAACTATGTATACGATTGTGAGAAACTTAACAAACAGAGATACAGGGTCGACTGATTCATTGAGTATCTAAAACTAAAAATGCGGTGACAAATTTTGTATATACTGATACAAAAGAATTCGTCCACCGGCAATCAATTAAGCTTTTAGTTTCTAGAACTAAAAAATGAATGAGAATAGATTGTGTCTGCAGTTTGACTGACTATTTTGTTTCTTCGCAGGGCTCACAAACGTAACTGTTGAATGCAGAGAGTATTTCAATCGTTCCTGCACTCACTCAATCCATGATTTACGCTCTGCTTGGTCTGGTAGACACGCGCACTCGCGTAGTGTTATTCTGTTACATATTTATATGGAGCAGGAAGGAATGTGTTTTTGAAAATGCCAATTTGTTTCCATGCATTTCTGTCCGAGACAGATGACAACTATGTTTCTTCCTAATTGTCTCAGTTTATACGGATTTACAGTTGTGTATGAGAGAAAACAGGAAAACATATGTGGATCTCATTTCACCTGTTTTCTCGCTATTTTCTTTGTAGCTATGGCTAGGGGAAAAGATTGCTTCCACGGAATATTCGAACAGTGAAAATATTGTAAAGGTGAGAAATCATGAGAACCGAATCATACTTTACCCTTCAAAGTTTCTGACTGACTCTAAAACATTTTGTCGTATCTTATAATAAGTGTTTGAACATTTTTCATACCAAACATATTGTAATGTATCTCGAAAATCAAACAGTTCCAACCTACCTTGTCAATTTTCTATTTTTGTGGGTCTACATCCCTATTATTCATGAGATCTTAAACGTGTTATCTTTAGGTATATCATCTGTTCTTATTGGCCTCTGCTGAGTGTCATATCGACGTTGTCTCCATTATGACCTATCCCACTTGGTCTGATAGACATGCTCGCCACCCAGTTGCGTTGCTTTTAACCTTCAAGACATCACCTAATCGAGATTACCGAGAATAGCTACATTTCTATTGTCTTGCTAAAGTATACTATCTTTTGGAATTGCAAGATGCATAGACGTGTGAAATCATCTCAAAAACCTTTGTTTACAATGTGTGCATCCCTTTGCTGCTATGAAGTGCTTCGAGTTCAGGATCATATGAAACCTTGAAACTTGAACTGATAACAGACAAGAGTTACTTCAACTGTTGGCAATATTCAGCTTCTGTTAATTTGATTTATTTTTTCTGTTTTCCATGTTTCTCTCTGAGGTACTGCATAGTTGTGTTTTTAAGAGACGAACTGCTTCGAATGCTCCAATCAATCTGCTTTCACAACACTATGAAACTACTCATTATCAATTTTTTGAGCATGCATAGTTTGGTTTTATCCATCTGTCAATAAAGTTCCCCATGCTGATGGGTAACGGGATGATTTATCCTCGGCAATGTCGTTAGGAGGTGGACAACGTAAGTCGCAAATGGCAGCCGAAAATCGAATAATGGGGTTAGCATTTCAAACTTCATCACATTCCTTGCGCCTGTAACAGATGAATCAGTTACCTCAAACATAACCTTCCAAATAGATGTCCTCTCATCGGAAATATCTCACCCTGGATTTTGCTTAGGTTATGCTCAGTATGCTGTGCGTCAGTTAAATAAAAAGAAACTGTTACTGTTATCTGCTTGAACACAAAGTCTTTTGTAACACCAAAAGAGCATGTGTATCAAACCTCTTGATCCGTTTACCCTCGCAGTGTAGATTTACATAAAAACTGCATGAATGTTTTTCAAATTAAAACTCGAAGAATTCTACATGTGATTCAATGCTAATCTTTCCCAATAAAAGTGAGAGTATTTGATTCCATCCTAAACTCAAATACGTATGGAGACAACGTGTTGTCAAAATTATAGAGATGATTGAGTTTTGATGAGTGGTAATGAGTAGACCGATGTATTTAATAATATCAAAATGCAGTTGAGGACATATCTATCATTTCTCGATAATATGTATACTATACAGGTATTGACCAAACTCGTGCAGCATCCTGATTTTTTTTACATTTGTTCCTCTCAATGCTTTATTTTTCCAGTCTCATTCACGGGACTGAATATGATATTGCCCCACATCAGATGCAACATATCTGATATAATATTCACTTGTCACTGCTTCTATTAGCCACATGCCATTAAAATGTACAATTTCGCGATTTCAGTGATTTTTGCTAATGCATCAGTTGTAAGATAACAAGGTCACAGTAGAAAACCTAATTGTAATTTATTTATTAAAATGACTCATAGACTTTATACAGGTATTGAACTTTCATCTCGTGCATGTTCCATTTGCTCCTCTTCAATTTTGAGCACTGGAGGCAGTCTCTTTAGGATGGAATCCACCAAATTAACTGCCAAACAGAATTTGTAAGTTTCATCTAATACACCGCACACTTTTACCACTGGCGACCAATGGCAAGGTAGCTGACTTACCCTTGTTTCTGATAGAGGGAAACGTTTCCGATTAAATTAAAATCCTAGCTGCTGCGCGTTAATAAAACGAATTTGACATTGAAATCAACCCCTCTAGAAACTGTATAAATGTGAAAAAATAATATTTATTCAGGTCTAACCGTTTTCTACCACCAAGCTCAAGCGAGAAGATATACCAACCATCATATGTGAAAAATATGACTTCCGTGAAAGCATTTTTAGAGTGACGGTTATCAAAAATCTCCGTTATCAGTGCAGAAAATTTTGCTATTTCCGAATTGGCGTATGCAGGAGACCAACAACAATGCGCTCAATAATCATACCCCTTCAAACTCGTTAGGCGGTGTAGATATTTAATTCTTTTGACAGGTAAAAAGAAATTCATTAGAAAACTGGCTCAGTAGATCAGCTTCAACAATATGCTGAATTACACGTTGGCCACCAGTGAGATAAATCCATTGCCAAATGGGCGGGCGACGTGATTTGAATTTGTTGGTCAAATCAATACGCGCTATGCTTTGTTGGGCGTTCGATAACAGCTTTATATCACGTGGTCTCAGCTGCATTTCAAATTGAGCCATCACTTTCCAAACGAAATCGTGGGGGGAAAATGGCTAATCAGCCCGGACTATCATCCAGATTGGATTTGTGCAACTCTTCTCTGCTGCGATCAAATACAACCATCATCTTACTCTGCTATGGCTAGTTGTCTCC